AGATATATGATTGACATAAGAAGACTCTGATTAAGAAGTATGAAATCTAATAGCCAACCAATTATCTAGTCCCAGAACGATAAAGTTTGTATTTGGTTAAGGAAATTATTGTTTGAATAATGCATTATCTTTCCGAACGCGAATTATGTTAGAAAACAACTTCGCATAATTCAAATGTTCATTTTATCCCTTCACCAGAACCGGGTACTTGTAAATAACATTGAAACACCCGGGCAGAAATAGGGAATCATTGAAAATTTCGTAATGACCGAGATTGAAAAATCAAAGGATACGAGAATCAGGCCCGCTTCCACTAAAAGGAAATAAACATAATCAGCCGTACGTCCTGCAAACCTCGTAGTTTCTAGTTCTACTGAATATTTATATAGAAAAAATAACTGAATTGCGCCGCTTACATTGAAGCTAAATAAAAAAAATGGTGTGTAAAGTCTCCATATCTATAAATTTTAAGAAAACGTTAGAATTGTCGCATAAAGCTGTTTATCAAAAATATCAAAATTTACTTGAAATCGGGCAAAAATATCTCGAGGAAAATAAAGTAGATTCTCTATGTCGACCAAACCCAAGTTTCCCGCTAGCGTTATTGCTATGAAACTCGTAAATAAGAACCTTGTGCATACAGGTATACTATTGTACCACATAGCAAGGTCATTCTGACGTTGAGGTTGTTGCCTATTCATCGCGATCTGAATTAAAGTAAAGAATAAACGATAACCGTGGTTAAATGTTTAAATGTTCGATTCTCATTGGGTAAATAAAAAATTTACTTTTTTATCTATTAATAGATAAATATTACTTTTCGAAAGAAACAATATTTCTCATATATACAATTATCCCCTAATCTGTAGGCCAATTGTTGGCAAATATAAAATTGTAGGCAAATTTGCCGACAATACAGTTTAAGGGATAATGAGTTAAATAACCAGTATTTAAAAGATTTTTTAACAATAAATAACATTAATAACTATAAATACCTATTTAAAATTGAAAAAATTAGATTAATAAAATTTGTATAGAAAATTATCAATTAAAAATTAAATATAAATTTATAATTATAATTATTTTTGTTTATATTATAGTTAAATTATTACAAATTACAATATATTTATCAAAAAATTTAATAGATTTATATACATATAATTTTTTTTTAAATGTTAAGTGAGATCTTTCTTAAGTCTTTATTAATTATACATAATAAATATAGTACATTATATACAAAATTCACAAAGTATGAAGTATATGATAATACATATTGACCTGTCACCAAAAGCTTAAAAAGAAAAACTTGAGAAACTATCTGTTACAAAAAAATAAAAAATAAAAAAAACATTTCAGACAAGATTGTTAATTATAAAAAAGAATAATAGAATTTAATAGTATATGAGATAATCTATATGTTACTTAAATATAAGTAAGGCATATAGTTAATGTTTTATGGAGAGTAAAATATTATAGTGATAATATGTTTAGGATTTAGAAGCATATTATCTTTAAATCAACAATTCTTTTGCAAGGCACAAATCAAATATGTCTACCTAGATTATTGCTTTCTTTTCAATAGTTGGGCATGACTCCAGCAGCAATAGAGAAATACTGGCTTAAGTTACCAGATTACGGAATACAATTTCCTGGTATTTCACTTTCATTTGCAATAAAAGTATTTTATTTTTACTTACATTGATTAGACTTTGATTGCCTTTTTTCTTTAATGATAGCATTGCTGCTTATGGGTCACAACTCCATTGTTGAAATAATAAATAGTCATATAATTGGTAAAAGAGTATTATGATTGAGATATAAGTAAGTCAGGTAATTGAAATCTGCTCTAATTGCTTGTTTGGTTGCTTGGATATATATAGAGTAAAAATTATCAGAATCATACAGGACACAAGTCATGTGTTCTTCCAATTTAATAAGTTATCAGATTATTTCTTTGTTGTTATTATTATTGTTGTTATTGTTATTATTGAGCATCAGGATTTTTTTTTGTTAAAAAATTAGTTATAGATAGGTTTGAACAGGTTTGATTTTGTTGTTAAGGAGTAAAGAAATTTTATTGACTGTTTGTTGGGTATAGATCTTTTAATAGAATAGAACTAATTATGGTTTTTGAGTAAATTTGAAAAGAATATTGAAAAATGAAAAAATAAGGTATATAATTGGTTTTCGGATAGAAAGAAAATAATAAATTTGCAAAGGTTGTGTTAAGACAAACATTAGATCCAATAACTTTGTTTAAATATGTTGTTAGGATTGAGTTTGTATTATAGAGAGAAGAAAGGTAAAGAAAAAAGTGATTATTATGATTATATAAAGGGAAGATATCTAAAGACAAAAAATTATGAAGGAAGGCTGTTATAAGTCTTTTCCTATACAATCAAAAGCTAAGAAAGACTTTCAACTTGCTTATATTTTGATCAAAGATCCTATTTCAATATAACAGTATTGCTTAAAGTCTTTATATTCTTTGAATTTAAACCTTATTTTCCTTAAAGAATAAGGAGAGAAAAATGCTTCTTGAAAGAAGATTTCCTAAAAAGGAAATTTTTAAAAAATCAATAGTAAATGGATATATATATAATTTAAAAAAAAAATTTTTTTTTTATATAGATAAACATTATCTTTTTATTATTATAAAAATTTTAAATTATTTTATATATAGAAAGTGACAATATCTTTTATATAATCAATTAATTAGTAACTTATGGATCTATAGCTCAGTAGTAAAGCTCCATAGGTTACCAGATGAAGATCTAGGGTTCAACACCATCTGGTTACAAAAATTTATCACCTTTATGATTGGTTGACTGGCTTCCAATTCATGTCATACCCAATCAGCTGCAAATCATCTTTCAAAATTAGTTAGGCTGCATGAAGATGGGACCTCTGGTTTTTCTGATGATTGCGAGCTGAAAACAGGTTGAAGCAAGGAAGGTTGCACGAGGAAAGGCTTTTGGTCTAACTCCGGTATAAGCCCACAACTCTAATCAAAACTGGCGACGACAGACTTCATCACACAAAAAACATCCTAGCCTGGGGCTATTCCAATTCGGCACTTGCTTAAAAAAAGTTTATATCTCAAAAAAAAGGTACTTGGTATAATTGGAAGCTACAGGTGATGACAAAGAGTGATTTACCTTCTCCGAGGTTCTGGGTAAAAAATATATACGGGAATATCTGGGTGTTCTACAACCATACTCCTGAAAAGTAATAATTGTGCCTCTCCCACGATGAATGCAGTCGAAACAGGATCTAGATTAGGTTAGATAGTTTATAAACTAGTGGTAGGATTTTCTATTCCCTAAAG